CCACTGTGCAGGCTGCTGGTGGAGGTGTAATGGTGTGGGGGATGTTTTCTTGGCACACTTTAGGCCCCTTGGGAATCATTTAAATGCGACAGTTCTGAAGGCGAAAGGGGGTCAAACACAGTATTAGTTTGGTGTTCTTAATAATCATTTAGGTGAGTGTATATTACCAACAATCCTGGTAGCAATCTTGACCCTCCATTGTAGCTTATTTTTGTCTAATTTGTCAGCCATAAGAAACTGAATTTACAGGACAGACTTGATCGCTAACTAGAACTGAACTTGAACTGATTGAATTTCCTCAGCTGGTAAAGTGCAATTTGCAAACACAAATTTGATAACATTGCAATATATGGCACAGTCAGTTTACACACACTCTCTAAAGGTTATATCACAAAGGACATGCTAAAGATTGTTCTTTTGTTATCATTCAGACTTTCAAAAATGCACAAAATCGTTTGATCGAATCAAACAAAAAATAATCAGCAGAATCATCTGTATAGCTAAAAAAATCTGTCAAAAAAGACATTTTTAGATATATTCTAATTCACAAATTCTAAATCAAATTCTGCAATACCCCATATAACACACATTTTTAATCAGACCCTGAAACATAACGCAACACCTGAGGAACGTAACAACTCATGTTAAAAGCTATTCTCTGCAGGAATTACCCTAAATCTCTGCATTACCTTATTTGAAAGTCAAGGGAACAATAAGCTGGAAACTAAATGGAACCAGCTGACAAATGTTGCTGACAGAGATTCAAAATTCAACAGATCAAGAAATGAATTGCAAACATGTTAGTGTTGCTATGTAAAAGGGAACTGTTTAACAATTCAAAAATATCATTTCTAGGTTTGATGGAAAATGTTTTGAATGGATGGTTCAAAATTTTCTGTTAATATTGGTCAAAACTTGTCTTATCTTATGTCACAGCGATACTAACATTGCAATACAGACACAGCAAAGTAACTCATGTCAGTATTCTAATGCTCTGAAACACGGTGTTTTGTTTAGATGAGGATACTAAGCAGATGTTGCTATGGCAGATGTGTTATCTTGCCATGCATCTGTCTAGACCAGTGTACATTATTCTGAGACTGACTCATAGGAGAACTGACTTACCTTTTAACATTCTCACTTTCCCAAGGCTACACACACACAACCTACACATGAATCCATAGCCATGTACATACATATAAACAGCTACAGGCAGTAGAGCTGTGCTATATGCTCAAGACCACTGCTGTATCTTCTTGAGAATATATACAGTATATATATATATATATATATATATATATATATATATATATATATATATTTATTTATTTATTTAAATTGTTTTTTAGAACCATACTTGTATAAAACAAATCAATGTGTATTATTATTCCAAATGCTGTTTTATTTTTGGTAAACAATGTCCCAGTTTTATTTGTCACCCATACACATGGCTCAACATCAAAAGGAAATATATTTTAGATGTTTAGAAGGTTCGTTGTCTGTTTGATTGCAGTTTGATGATACTTATAATCTTATCAGTTTCTTGGTCTGCTTGTTTTCTTCTGTATAGAAGCCCATTTCTACCACAAAAGAAAAAATAAATCATGCTTTGGTAAATCAAAATTATAAGATAAATTCATACAGTAATTATGAGTAATTTTGACTTAGGCTATGTCTACTTTAATCCAGATACATTTGAAAATGGCGTTTTCGTTTCAAAACGCCCTCCGTTCACACTAGCATTTGCAAGCGCTTTCCAGAAGTTTCTCATCCACACTGAAACGTTGGAAAACACTAAACGCACCTTACTACACGTGCGTAAAACCTTATAAAAGCGCACTGAGATTATATACGGAACAGACAGACATCATAAAGTTCTCAAGCTATTATTCTGGCAGGATCATTTTATTTAAAATATCTTACCATAAAATGATGCGTCCAGGTTGCACTCAGTCACCACGTTTGGTCTAAAACGCAACTGCTCGTATTGCCGAAGGACAGAAAAATTGTGTACATTTTCTGTCATCTTTGCAGGACTGTGATTTATTTGGAAAGTAACATATTTGTGAAAGTGAAAAAACAAACAGACAATAGACAATCTATTGGTATAATATTCATCACATGACTAAACTTCATCATCGTTTTCAAATAACTCTGTTTTGACAGTCCACATTGCTACGCAAAAACTGTTTTCAAAAATGAGAATATATGGAAGAATAAAATGGAAGGCCGAGATGGAGAGAAAAAGATGCTTTTTCAAACAAAACGTAGTGTGGCTAAGGCCTTACTTGGTAATCAATTTGGTATCAATTTGATGATTTTAGACTGGCAAAATAATAATTAAATCAGGTCAAAATTATACTTTTGCGAAAGTTGTAACATTTCACTGCTCTTATCAGTTAAAGATATAGCAAATTACCGAAAAAGATCTTTGACATATGAAATTGTTTAGGCATTATTGGAAACAAGGAAAAAAAGCTCTGGACTGCTCCATTGCCCAGTGTTGTCTGTGACATTTCTTTTTGCCAGTTTCATATCCTCCACCTCCAGCATTCCAGCTATTCCATGTACTAGTGTGGAGATATGCATGCTCAACTTCACCCACTGATAATGCCCATTCAAGATGTGATAAACAAACAAACAAACAAACAAACAGGCAAATTACAATTAGCTACTGATCTGCCATAAAAAAACACTGCATATCCCAAAATTCCAAGTTTTCCTGCATATATATATATATATATATATATATACATAACATTTCTTCTCGTTTTGTTAATCTTAATATCTTTCCGCCTTTTAAACTAAATGCTGTTCTGAGATTCATTGTTTCTTACCATGCATGATTGAGATGCTGGGAACAAAGAATCTTAGTACACACAGGTGTTTTGTCTGATATGTTTCAGCATTTGAATATGTAGCGGGTGCATGAAATTTTCTAAAAAAAAAAAAAAAAAAAGACACTGGATCAAATTCTCAAGTAAAGGTTTGATGGTTCTTTTTACTGTACAATGGTTGTTAGTCCCAGTCAGAAAATCTATACAGACAAGCAACCAACTGATCATCTTTACAGGTTTTCAGCAAGTGTTCATAATGGGGGTAAAACAGAATTATTCACCAGGGGCAACATGAGTTATTAAGAAACATGGGCGATTATATTATTTACACATGACTCTCCTCAAATATAATCGCTACAGGCAAATGGTTATATGGTATGATTAGTTAAAAATAAAACATTTATGTGAAAATACAATTTACAGATTATTATTTGTTGGGGGGGGGGGGGTCTCTTGCCATTAATTTACTTTAAGAACTTTTAATTCTTCATATAGCTGGTAGTTCCTTAGTGGACTGTGATAGAAAGGATTAATTAGGTGCTGAAATTATCCAAATTAAAAAATGTTGTGCGCTGATTATAACACAGAAACTCTTTGTGCAATAAAATGTGAGATTTTTTTTTTTTTGCTGTTGCAAACAAACAGTGACTGAACAGAAAAGGCCTGGGAAAACCCATAACACTTTCTATGTGTCCTGTATCCATAATGCATTATAGAGGTCTTCAGTTTTATAGGTATTCACATTTATACTGTAAATAACTGTAACCACAATTAATAGTTAAGTTTAAAATGCCTTAACACTCATTGTTATTTTTGATCAGTGTTTAATGTATTTTGGTAAAAGGTACAACAATTAATAGGTACAGTAATGTATTATAACTGTGGTTACAAGTATTTACAACACAAAAACAGGTGCATTGAAAGGCCTTATAAATACCATGTCATCGAAAATGTTTTCAACAACATTTTTTAAAAATTTAAGTTTTGTCCGTAAAACTTTAGCAATTAAGATATGACATACACACATATAAAGGATTATTAGGAACACCTGTTCAATTTCTCATTAATGCAATTATCTAATCAACTAATCACATGGAAGTTGCTTCAATGCATTTAGGGGTGTGGTCCTGGTCAAGATAATCACCTGAACTCCAAACTGAATGTCAGAATGGGAAAGAAAGGTGATTTCAGCAATTTTGAGCGTGGCATGGTTGCTGGTGCCAGACGGGTATGTATTTCACAATGTATTTCACAATCTGCTCAGTTACTGGGATTTTCATGTACAACAATTTCTAGGGTTTGCAAAGAATGGTGTGAAAAGGGAAAAACATCCAGTATTTGGCAGTCCTGTGGGCAAAAATGCCTTGTTGATGCTAGAGGACAGAGAAGAATGGGCCGACTGACTCAAGCTGATAGAAGAGCAAATTTGACTGAAATAACCACTCGTTACAACCGAGGTATGAAGCAAAGCACTTGTGAAGCCACAACACGCACAACCTTGAGGCGGATGGGCTACAACAGAAGAAGACCCCATCGGGTACCACTCTTCTCAACTACAAATAGGAAAAAGAGGCTACAAAGAGCTAACCAAAATTGGACAGTTGAAGACTATAAAAATGTTGCCTGGTCTGATGAGTCGTGATTTCTGTTGAGACATTCAGATGGTAGAGTCAGAATTTGGTGTAAGCAGAATGAGAACATGGATCCATCATGCTTTGTTACCACTTTGCAGGCTGGTGGTGGTGGTGTAATGGTGTGGGGGAAGTTTTCTTGGCACACTTTAGGCCCCTTAGTGCCAATTGGGCATCGTTTAAATGCCATGGCCTAAATCAGCTTTTTTTTTTTTACTATGTACATCCCTTTAGGGCAAACATGTACCCATCCTCTGATGACTACTTCCAGCAGAATAATGCACCATGTCACAAAGCTCGAATCATTTCAAATTGGTTTCTTGAAAATGGCAATTCACTGTACTAAAATGTCACCAGATCTCAACCCAATAGAGCATCTTTGGGATGTGGTGGAACGGGAGCTTTGTGCCCTGGATGTGCATCCCACAAATTTCCATCAACTGCAAGATGCTATCCCATAAATATGGTCCAACATTTCTAAAGAATGCTTTCAGCACCTTGTTGAATCAATGCCACGTAGAATTAAGGCAGTTCTGAAGGCGAAAGGGGGTCAAACACAGTATTATTATGGTGTTCCTAATAATCCTTTAGGTGAGTGTATATTATACCTGTACTTTGAGGTCACAAATCAGATGAAACAGTGCTGACCAGTTTTGTGAATTAGATAATATCTAATTAATTACAGACTGTGATGGGATTTTTTTTAGTTTACGCATAACATTATTTTGACACCAAATAATTAATTTCATGAATTCTAAACCATTCGAATTTCTACATTTTAAAAATTGTGGGCCACAGAGGATCCCTTTCAAAAATCTCACAAAATGAAAATATCGTAATCCAAACTGCACATCAATAAATGTTTAGAAAAAGGACTTTTCTGATTATGTTTTTTTGAGCAAATAATAAATAGGTTTTCCAAAAAACTCTCACTCATCACATTGTTTGCATTATCACAAAACATCAGTAGCACCATAGCAGTGTGATAAATTTGTAAGAATAAAGCAGATGATCAGATGTTCCCATGTTTTATCTTCTCCGTACCTCTCCTGCATGTAAAGCTTAGTCTCTCAGGATGAATAACGTCTCAATGTGTAAGCCTTCATGGATCCATCCAAGAAAAACAGACACAGATTCGCATCTTCACAAACACAAACCTGAAGACACACCAAAAGTCTTTCTGGCGACCCATGTAGAGGCAAAGTTTATGTGTTCCAGCCAAGTCCGATGTGAGTTGCGAGCAGGTAACACATGCCTATTGTGCAGGTCATCAGCATCATGGGGAAGCCCAGCCTATGAAACAAAACACAGTGAGAATTCATATTCTGAGTCCCTACATGAAAGTTCCTACAAAGATGAAAATTGAACCTTAGAAAGTCTGAAAATCCCACACTAATACACTGAAAAAAATCAGTATAAAGCATTTGGGACAAGAGTCTGTATTTTTCTTTATGTAAGACCACAGATATTCTTGTGTCCCAATGAAGACATAACCTAGCATCTTCTTATGTTTCATAGCCACTCCACCTTTGTTCCTCTTTCTATCAAATGATGATCTCTGAGCAGTTCGATTCTGAACAGCAGGGGTCTCGATGCTTTACTGCATCCCTACTGAGGAGCATGGCAGGCACGTTACCCGCTTCATCGAAGAGGTATTTAAGTGTGAGTCTTTATGGCAGAGTCAAAAGCAGGGGACAACTGCATTAAAGTATGATATCTAGGCATTAACAGTGAAGTCAAAGGCTGGAGACGCAATAGACTGATGATACCAGTCCCCCCCATTTAACGTAAGCTGCTTTCCTCAGCCTCTGCAAAGCTGTCAACTCTCAGAGACATGTGGACCGTCCTTGATGCACTCGCTTGTAAAAGCATCCATCTGGAGAGTGGAATTACCATTGTAATTACAACTGGACACTGGCCTAATCTCAATACGCGATCGGCATGCATCAGTGCCCTGTTGACCCTCGGTTCAACATGCTGTCTCTTCTGTCCATGAGGATTACAGTATACTGCATGCTGTCTAACCTCACTTATTTATCAGCAGAACTAAGAATTGCATATGACACTCAGTTGAGTAAGTCAGTAGAAATGAAATCAACAGATTACAAAGGGAAGTGGAAAGATTATACAGGGAAAATAGCACGCAGCAAACTTTATAACAATATAATCTGTTTTCAAAACAATGTCTGCCCCCAACCCTCCCTTTATCTAATAATCGAGACCAATATAAATTAGATTCTGTCACTTTTAAATAACCCTGATGCCAATTCAAAACTCTGTGCTATCCTTTTTCTGTGAAACAAAAAGGGAGCATTTTAAAGCATCTATAGCTTCTTGTTCCATATAACAAAGTTTGTAATGTTCATGGCTGGTAGATTTCAATAATGACAAAACTTCTTGTTTGCCAGACGAAGACCTTTGGGCCGAAACGTTGCACATTTTAATAAATCAATTTTTGGAAGCAGCAGTGGGAGTGTGTTGTGTTCAGTTTATAGTGAAGTGTTTAGGAAACCTGTTTGAAAACCTGTTGGATTTTTTGCAAGTGTGCTTGCTGTAACCAAAAAAGCTAAAATTATGCACGGCACCTTTAAGTAGCAAATCTGTGTCTTGTTTTTGCTCAACATCGTTCTGATCTGAGTCTGCTCAGACTCTTTTCACAGAACACTAAAAATCCACATGCAATTTTAATAATTTCTGTTCTCTTTACTTCGCTGATAGTTCATAAAAGCGCCAGTTCTTGTTGCTGAATAAAAAGTCCCATAGAAAAAAGATTCTAGAATAACTGAATGAAAAAGCTGCTGAGATGACGAAGCACTTGTGAGGATGAAAGCTCTGGACATCCATTTAGCCCAAGTGCATACCTTCAGCAGCCCAGTGGATACTGACTGAGTGCATGGGTAAATACAGAACATTTGGGGCATAGAGAAATCAACAAGCTCAGAAGAGCCAGAAGGCACAGATTGAGAAGAAAAGAGAGGGAGGCCGATGGAAAGCAAATGGATGATAAACGGAGCGAAGGAATACAGAAACGAGTCAGAGGAGGAGAAAAATGTTTTCTCATAATGTTGCAAATCACAATCTCAAACAATTCTTGTCAAAAACAAATGTGCTAAGTTGAGGTGTTCCTTAGGCTCAAACAATATGGTCAATCTCAAAGATGTTACGAACCGATCAAATGTATGACTTAAATGTGCATTTTCAATGTAAAATTGTAAAACTGTAGACATTTTAGTTTGTCTCCTTAACACTAAAAAGTGTCAAATTTGGAATCAAAATAATGAATCGGTGAAGGAATCAAAAGAGAAAGGGACTGTCAAAACATACAAATCAAGAAAGAAAATGAAACATGAAGGTACACTCTCAGAAAAAAAAGGTACAAAAGCTGTCACTGGGGCTGTACCTTTTCCAAAGGTACACTTTTGTAGCCAAAGGCTGCATATTGGTACCTTAGTGGTACATATTACCACCTAAAATGTACATATTACCACCTAAAATGGACATAATAGCTCATGAAATGGACATATTAGCACCTAAAATGTACATATTAACACCTAAAATGTACATATTAGTACCTAAAATGTACATATTAGTACCTAAAATGTACATATTAACACCTAAAATGTACATATTACCACCTAAAATGGACATATTAGCTCATGAAATGGACATATTAGCACATAAAATGTACTTATTAGCACCTAAAATGTAGATATTAGCACTTAAATTTTACATATTACTTAAAATGTACATATTAGCACCTAAAATGGACAAAAGTTTACCTAGCCCCAGTGACAGCTTTTGTACCTTTTTTTCTGAGAGTGTAACACAATCGCATTGGAAATGAAATAAGTGTCCTCCAGTGCTTTCTGTCCTTTGTTTCATCTCAAACATTCATTTCTAACATTCTCCAAAATTAGATTAGATTATTCGAAAGCACATATTTAAGGTCAAGTATCGTATTGCTGGTCCACAGCTGGTCCAGAAAACACACCAGGCTAAATGCTGGATTGCACAAGGAACAGGCGTGTATTAGCTGTATACGGAATTTGTGTGATATACATCAAAGCAGGTGCACGTTCCTCAGGTTGTGAGGGCAGGTCAGGTTGCTAATGCACAATTTGAGTGATGTGAAGGAAGCAGCCAGGTGCCTGATTCATAAGTAGTCAAGTGAACAAATCGATGTGCACCGAAACACTGAGTATCAAGGTTGTGAGTTTTACAACCTGAAAAGCAGCACCACATGTGGTTTGTTAAACTGTCTGAATAAAATAAATAGCACATTAAGTGGCACTAAGTACTGCATTACGGTTCCTAAAATAAAATTAACGTTTTTCCACCTAATCTTTAACGGGCTAAAGAAAGGACAAGTAATGTGACTAAAGGTGATACAGTCCATTATGACCATGTTGAAGATAACAATGACTTATTTATTTAGCAGATCTTCTGTCTAAAGAGACATATTCATCTTTTTTTCTTTTTCTTTTTTCTGGTTGCAACTATGTTTAAATACCTTGCTCAATGATAACAAGGCAACTCATCCATTGTTCCATGGGTTCAAATCTACTTTTCAATTACAAGCTTAGGTTTTTTTTTATTTATTTACCATAGCAACACCTATATACTGTACATAACAAAAGCTTTGAGATGTCTCAAAACTACAACCCTCAAGACGAGATGCTCAAAAAACAAGGTGAGGCTCAACAGGCAAATATCGGTAAGACCATCTGAATGCATGGCCTAATCTCATAAGAATTTGTGGTAATATGTAATATGTACACATACATGTTTGATATTTACAAAAACTTAAAATATGGATGTATTGAAAGCTTAAAACGTTAAAAAAAAGGACTTGCATATTAATAGCTTTAAAAATATAAAACTTGTGAATTTTACAATTATATAGATATTTCAACTATGTAAAATATCTAACAGTTAACACACCAAACAAATGGTAAACCTAAAACATTTGAATTATAAGATCAGATTTTTTTTTACCACTAAACTACAACATCTATATGCATGACCTTAGGGGGAAAAAAATTAGTTGAGTGAAATTCGGATTTTTCTTTTATCCATTTTGTCCACCCTGCTCAATGCCATCGACTATGTGGCACATTTTATATTAAAAACATTTGACATTTCAAACATGTGATGAGATCACAACAGCTCTCTGCCACAATCTCACCCACTCTCACTACAAGATTGCTGATGTACACAACATTTCCTTACGACCGTGAAAACCCATCTTATGTGGCTCAAAAAGCATCAGAATGGGATTTTTTGTAATAACTTTTTTTTTTTTTTTTGCAAACTAGTGAAGGAAATGACTTTCTCAAAGTCACACAAACGCATGGTACTGAGTGGAAATTAAGGTCAGTGTTGATTAGGTCTGATATTTCAGACATTATTATAAATTCCATCACTGTCATCATTCAGTACTTTTCAATAGGGACACACCAGATGGTTTGTCATTTGGACATCCACCATTATATTACATGCCAGTATTAGGAGGCACATGACGGATTTTGAAGGCCAAAGTGGCTTGGCATGGTGCTGGGAATAACAATGTGATCCAAACTCTGGGTTTGTTTGTACAATAGGTCATGATTGCCCATGGTTGCACACACATATGCTGCTTCTCTCCTCTGTACAAGCACAGAAATACAAGTAAATTCACATCAACAGATGGGGGAAAGAGACAGACTGGGAATGGAAAAAAAAACTACATATCAAAATTGGCTAGTGGGTTGAATTTTTGAACAATTTGTTTACAAGTCGTATTATTATTAAAGCTGCAGTCTGTAGCTTTTTTGGTACATTTTTGAGCAAATACGTAACCAGCCAGTGTTCACAACTATCTGCTTACTGTAGCTCGATCCAAAACGGTAAGCTTGTAATAATGTTTTTAATTCCAGTGGTACTGGTGGATTTCCACAGGAAATTCAATGTCTTTGCATCATTATATAATAATATAATATATTATAATATGTACACAATATAAAGAAGGAGTCTCGGCTAGGCTTTGTTGTGTACTGTATGAGGATGTTGGAGGTGGAGATTTATAGCCTTTTCTAACAGCACTTGATATAATTAAACTTATCAATTTGATGGCGGATCCAGAAAGGTCCAAACGACAATCACCAGTGACAACTGGAGATTCACCAAATGTAAAATGCAAAAGACTTTGGACAGAGAGTTTGGAAAAAGATACGGCAACAGGACCCATGCGAAAACAAGGATAATATCAGAAGGGCATTACAAGTAGTCAAGTAATGCTGATGTTGTTAACATTA